CTACGTTTGTGATTATCATGGATGTTCATTGTCTACAACACTCCATTGTATTAACTACCTATGTTCATAGGTTTTAGGCTAGGAGGGGAAATATAATTAGTGTCTTGGGTTCAATTAATTATAAACAAAAACTAACGGTGTGGCTAAATCACTTTTGTTGTATTCATAAAATACTATTTATTAAAATAGTATTTTACACCTTTCAACAATTTAATTTTTTTAAAAAATTATTATTTAATATTAAATTATTTTAAAAATTATACTTCATTATTATTATTTTTCATTAAGTTATATACTGGTGGTCTTAGAAATTTAGTTTTTATTACCATAATTTCAAGTTTTAACATTAGATTTATTGAAAGCGAGGCTTTTATATGTTTTTAATTTTTTTTTATTAATTTGTCATGATCATGTGATCTAAATTGAGTGTTTAACATGTTGAATCAAGTTGATTTAAGTTTTTTTTAGATTGTTTTTTTAATTGATTTTTTTATTTTTTCTTTTAATATTGTGTTGGTTAGAAATTAGACTTCATGTTTTTATTTGCTTTTTATACAGTTATCCTGATTTCTTGACTCAAGTCATGGGTTTAATAGGTTAACTCGGGTTGACTTGATTTATTTTTTATCCTTTCTTGATTGATTTTTTTTTCAATTTCACCCTTTAACAACTCGACCTCTTCTTGTTCCTTTTCTTTTCAGTTTTATCATTTAATATTAGGTTATTTGAGAATTAAGCTTTTAATTTTTTTTTAATGTGCTTTATATAGAGTTATCATGGTCTTATAATTTAATTTTTTTTCTTGATTTCAACCTTCAATATTGAAAATAGAGCTTTGTAATTTATTTTATCTGTTTTTAATGAAATTATCTCGGTCTCATGAATTATACTGCGGGTTTAATAAGTTAGCTCGAGTTGACTAATTTTTTTTATTTTTTTTATTTGCTTATTTCTTCGTTCAACACTAGTTTAGTTTGAAAATTGAGCCACATATTTTTTTATTTCTTTTTCATAGGATTATCTCAATTTCGTAACTTTTATTGCGTATTTAACAGGTTAATCCGAGTTGGTTGTATTCACGTTTATTAGTCAATTTTTAATTGGACTTTGTAATATTTTTCAATTTGCTTTCCATTAGATTAATTAATAGTTGAATTTTATAATTTTTTCTACTTGCTTTCAGTAGAGTTATCCTGATCTTATGGCTCAGGTAGCATGTTTGGTGGGCTAACTTTAATAATTTTTTATTTTTTTTAAATTTTATCATTCAATATTAGATTAATTAAAAAATAATATTTATAATTTGTTTTAACTCGTGTAATTTTATTTTTCTTTTTCAATTTAATATTTTATATTTTAATGTTGAATTAATTATAAATTAATATTCATGATTTATTTTAACTTGTTTGAGTATCATAATAATCTTATGAACCAGATCATAAATTCAACATGTTAATTCAGATTGATTCAATGCGTTGTTATTTCAATATTTAAAACAAGTGTTAACTAATATGTTGCATATTATTATTTTAAAAAATATTATTTAATATGTATTATATTTTAAAATAATATTTAATTTTTTTTATTTTAAAATATGCTATCATTGTATATATTTTTTATATTAAAAATAATTAATCTAACCTGCAGCGCGTCACATTTCTATTATCTAGTCCTGGTCTATTCGAGGTTTTAGCTGGCACTGTTTTGGCTTATATTTTCTTATGATATTGTTACTGGTTCGTTGTGAGAATAAGCTCCCAGTTAACTCGTAGTTTTATTAATAAAATCTTATGTGGTTTAAATGTTTCTGGCTCCACGTGTTTCATCTCCTATGGATGGTTAAGTCATGTTCATTTACTTTCATAGTTTATCTTTCTCAAAAAATAATATTTAATTGTGCTCCTTGTATCACCCCCTTCATTTGTAAATGAAATTACCATTTCAGTGTTTTCTTTTCTTTTCTTTTATATATATATATAGGCTGGTTGCATGCTCAATAATAACTCAGAAACCAAATTCGAATTTAGGAAAAAAAAATCACATTTTTTATTGTATTATGGAATGCTTTCTTTGAAGCCGAAAACATAATCCTCCAGACATGATGCTGTAATTAAAATCCACGTATTGTATAGGGAACACAAATCATTATGACAAGACATGGACAAGCAAAGATCGTCGAAGTGAAAACACCATAGCCACGCTTTAGAAATATAATTAAAAATAAACTAAAACATTCATGTGGTTTTGATGTTAAGGGTTGATGTTCAGTGAACAAGCGAATAGGAAGATGGCTAAGGATTGAGGTTCTTTTTTAAATTCATTTTAAAAGGTGTTTTTTAGGATTGATTATGAAAAAAATAAAGAAATTAATTAGATGTGTCTGAAATATAAATAAGGTTTAATTGTGAATTGCACAATTCACGAGAAGAGAGAGTTTTGCCAAGAAATGAGAAATAAAAAGAACGAGTTTTAAATTCTTTATTTGTTTTAAAAAATATTTTCTATAAAAAATTTTACAAAAATAATATTTGTGATGTTTAATGAATAATAAAGTAAAAAATAAAGTGGTAATAAAATGATGATGGTGTGTACACACTGATAGTGATTAAAGTAGTGTTTATAATAGGGGTGGTAGTGGAGAAGATGCTAGTGTTGATAAAGATAGTAATTATAAAATAATTAAATGATGTTATAAATAAATTAATATGAATAAAATATGTTAGAAAATCCCACTAGCTAGAATTATTTTCCAGTCAATAAATTAAAATTAAAATTTAATCATGAAATAATTTATATAGATCAAATTTTATATAAATCTTTTTATAAAAAATGTGTAAAATATTTTATATCTGTTAATTTTCTTATAAATATTCTTTAAAAGAAATATGTAGAATATTTTAGGTAAAACAAATATCTACTCAATTAAAATAAAATAAAATTTATAGTTAAAAGCAAGGCTTTTTTTATTATTATTATTATTAGTGTCCACGAGGTCTCGTATAGCAGCAAGTGTTTCTAGCGGGTGTCCAGGAGATTAATTGCTAGCAAGCTACTCAAAGATCCATGAGCTTAACAGTAGAAACACCCCTGAGTCTATGCCTTTTTGATCGACACCCTTCTATTTATTTTTATTTATTTGTTTGTTTATTTATTTATTTATTCATTCCCGATTTCAACTGGCAAACCGAAGGAGGTTTGAATTGAAATCCTTTCTATTACATTTCATCCCATTTAACCATTGAATATCACACACAAGTCACTTATTTTGATTTAAAAAAACAAAAAATTATGAGATTGTCATGGGTTATTTCCTTTTATGAAATTTTTATCATAACATGAGTGATATTTTTATTGAAATATAAGTGAAAGTTATTTTATTTTTAATTTTAAAAAAAATTGTTACAGATTGTTCTAGCATCAATTATTATAGTTTAAACCCTTTTAATTAACTTGGGTTGACGCTAACTAGTATATGAAATCTGTTACTTGAGTCATGAATCTAATTAAAATTAATAATATAATTAAATAAAAAATATTTTTTATTTAATTATATGACAATAAAAAAATACAATATCAATTAATTAACTAGAAAAAATGATGGTTTTCATATTTGTTTTTGTTAATATTATAAAAAGAACTATTATACTATTGTTATAAAACAAAGTAAAAATCAAATGATGTTTAATAGAATGATATCTAAGATATAATTTGATAACTTGGTTAATTAATGTACTCATAACATTTTAAATTAATTAACTTAAAAAGAAATTAAATTTAAAAAATAAAAACAGGTTAGCCAGCCCACACAGTTGGTTTTGCAAAAAAAAAACCAAAGGGTTTTTGGACTTGAAAGCTCATGGTTGAGCCTAGTTTTGTTTTGTTGTTTTTTTTTTCCTCAGGGTTTTCCACTTCTTCTTCTTGTTTTTTTTTTAATTGAACGACAAGCTATTTAGCATGTTGTTTAGAATTCGACAATTATTGCAGTAATTGAAAAATCGAGAAGGAATGTTTGCCCTGAAGATCAATTTTTTTTATCTATTTTCATTTAAAAACATCATAAAAATATGAACAAATCATGTAATAACCTTGAAATACTAATTTTTTAAGAAAAAACAACAAAAATCAACAAAATGTAAGAAATCAGAATCAAACATAATATACCTTTTCTTATCATTTTAGAGGAAAAAATCACCTCCATTCAGCTTCTATCAAAACACACACACATATATTTTTTGGGTTAAATTATGGCTTAATAACAAACTCATTGTTTTTCAATGAGTTTCCTTTTCTGTTTTTTTTTTCATAGCACAAACATTAAAAAATAAATAAAATAAATTTTTAAATCAAAATAAAAATCACAAAAAATTCAAAATTAATTGTCTATTTTCTTCATACTTTCCATCACAGCCTTCTCACTTTAAAAATTATATTTTTATTATGATTAAAAATTTTATCTAGTAGAATTAGGCCATAAAAGGATTGGATAAAAAAATAATCAAAAGATAAAAATAAAAAAAATAAAAAAGAAAAAAAAATCAATTGCTTCATTATTTATTTACATGAATAGAGGAGCCGTTTTAGTTTATGAACTAACTTGCACTAACAAGCCTAATCCACTAGATTGAAACAAACCGACATGCCCTAATAGAAAAAAGATTTAAGGACTGAAATTAAATATTAGAGAACACAATTGGACTTCAATGTATTTCAACCAAAACCCGTTACCAAAATTATTCGAGTTTCAAAAACCACACCAACGGTAAATAAGTTTTATGTTTATTTTTGTATTTTAAAAATATTTAAAAATTATTTATTTTAAATTAATATTTTTTAATATTTTCAAATATCAACATAAAAAATAACTTTTTAAAATAAAAAATAATATTTTAATATTTTTTTTTTATAAAAAATGACTATAATTAAACTTTCAAATATCTTAAATATCCTACTAGAAGAAAAGGAAGAAGCATTCACACACTCTCTCTCTCCCCATTACAAACACCAGAATAAAACCCCACTCACATGCCACCTCCACTCTCCTCCCTTTCTCTCACCTTACCCCTCTCCTCTGCCCTCCATTGGCATTTTCACCTCCCTCTTCCACTCCCTGTAATAAATTATTCCTCACAAAAACAGGCCAAAACCCCAAAATACCAAAAAAGGACAAAAACATATATAAAAAAAGAAAGAAAGTAAAAAAACCCATCCCAAAACACAAAAACACCATTAAAACATAGATGAAGCACAGACTGGGAATCTAACCACCACCTCCTCTCCTTCTCTCTCTCTTTCTCTTCCAAGTCCATACCACAATGGACTTCATTTGAGAGAAGAAGAAAGACCCACAGAAAAAGTTTCGTCTTTTTGTATTTAATGGCAGCTCCAAGTGGGTTAAGTTTAGACCCACCACAACCTCCAACAACTGCAGAAGTATGTCAATGGCTAAAGAACTTACCTTTAGCACCTGAATACCGACCAACACTATCTGAATTCCAAGATCCAATTGCTTACATTTTCAAAATTGAAAAAGAAGCTTCTCAATATGGAATCTGCAAAATTATCCCTCCTGTCCTACCCTCTGCTAAAAAAACCACTCTTTCTAATCTCAACCGCTCTCTCTGCGCCCGTAACGGTGGTTCCTCCGCCCCCACATTCACCACACGACAGCAGCAGATCGGATTTTGCCCCAGGAAACCCCGCCCTGTTCAAAAACCCGTATGGCAGAGCGGGGAGACCTACACATTTCAAGAATTTGAAACCAAGGCTAGAGTCTTTGAGAAGAATTACTTGAAGAAGTTCTCTAAGAAGGGAGCTCTTTCTCCATTGGAAATTGAAACCCTTTACTGGAAAGCTACTTTAGATAAGCCTTTTTCTGTAGAATATGCGAATGATATGCCTGGTTCTGCGTTTTCTCCGAGGAAAAAGGAGGGACAAGGAGGGGTTGCTGGGGAGGGAATGAGTGTGGGGGAAACTGAGTGGAATATGAGGGGAGTTTCAAGGGCAAAAGGGTCCTTGTTGAGGTTTATGAAGGAGGAGATACCTGGGGTTACTTCGCCTATGGTTTATATTGGGATGATGTTTAGTTGGTTTGCTTGGCATGTTGAGGATCATGATTTGCATAGCTTAAATTATATGCATATGGGTGCTGGGAAGACTTGGTATGGTGTGCCTAGAGAGGCTGCTGTTGCATTTGAGGAAGTTGTTAGGGTTCATGGGTATGGCGGAGAGATTAATCCTCTTGGTGAGTTAGTTTTATTTTTGTTTTTTTTCTCTCTAGGCATTCAATGTTGGAGCTACTAGTAATTAGTTCCACTGTTTTTGAGATATTTATATCCTTCTTTAATTGCATTGGTAGATTTGTGTGTTGTTTTTTACATTTCCGTGTGAATTTTGTAGAATCTAGTTAAATGGACGAATATTGGAGGTGTGTAGTAAGGATTAGATGTCATGATTGTTTATTTAAACAATATGTTTTGACAATTGTTAGAACTGGGAATGTTCTGAGCAACTGATGTAAGTTATAAAGATAAATCATGGAGCTATACACTTTGCAAGAAATGCAGTGGTTGATTTGTCTGGGTGGTTTTAACTTGTGCATTCTGACTTGCTTTGAGAGCTCTGAGGTTTGATAGTGTCTTTTAGTGATGGTTTTGCTTGTTACTGTACAAGTCCTTGATTGAATCTATAAAGTTATTATGCTTTACTTAAAGTTTAAGCCGCTGTGATAGATATTGAGTGGTTGTCTTGCTTTTGCTTTTTCACAGACATTTTGTGATCTAACTAGCTATGAGAAAGTTGTAGTGCATTTCATGTGCCTTTATCTTGGAGTGTTTATTTTTTTTCAAGTGTTTTTATTTTAGGGTTTAATGACCATTCAGTTAAATTTCTGTGTTTATTCCTATCAGTTTCTGTATCTCTTAGTGGCTATTTTGAGTCACTTGAAATGAATTGGAGGCACAAGCATGAAGGATAAGTGTAGACTAATTCCAAGCAAATATTATGCGTTATCTTCATCTGCAAAAAGTTCAATTCTGGTTGGAGAGATGATCATGCATGAAATTCTGACATTCTCCATGTAACTGATATGTGATTTTCTTTTCATGTTGATAGTACACACTGAATGCAGGTCTCCTCTCCCTCCCTCACTGGTTCTTGCTTAGTTGCCTTAGAACTTTCCTTAGCTTTCTACCCGTATTATATGCAACTATGTGAGCAACCTCTAGCTCTTCCATCGCCTTATTGTGTCACCTGAATTTATCCTCTCGAGATGAAGAAAAAAGCCTGTTTTTTTCCTGATGAGAATAGGTGCTTTTGTGACTTACCTGCACTGCTTTCACACGAAACTTTGAAGATGTGGGTTCATGTTTGATGGAAAGGCACTTTATGTGGGATCCAGTTAATTGATGAGAATATTTCTTTTTATCTTCTTGATTATCCTGCTCTTAAAAAAAATTGTTGCGCTGTTCTATTGACTGCATCTGGGCCAAGTAAAAGCAACTTAGTTTAGATTTTAGAATCAATAGATGGCAGTTGTCTTTATTTTTGAGGATTCATTCTAATCAACTGAACTCCACTTTCACCCTTGATCTATCAGTTACGTTTGCTGTTCTTGGTGAGAAGACGACAGTAATGTCACCTGAAGTATTTATCAGTGCAGGTGTACCATGCTGCAGGTACCCTCTTAATCCCTGCTCTGTTCTGCTCCTAAGCATTCTCCTTTAGCTTTCCAGTAACTTCCTTAAATTTCATTATATGGGTCACTCGTGTACATATGAACTTTAGAATTTTATGATGCTATTTCCTTGACTTAATTAAACATGATTGATTAATTAATGGATCAGTATGATTGAGAACTGAGTTGAAGTGCAAGGAAAGACGGTCAACCCTTCAAAAGTGATCTCTTAAGGACCAGAATTTCATCTTAACCTTTCCCTTCACCGCCTAAAGAGCAAACCATAGTACTTGCATAGAGCCTTTAATGTTTTGCATGTGGCATGATTTTTATCTCTGTATTTGTAATGCTACTGGTTGCTCCAAATCAGGTTAGTTCAAAATGCCGGGGAGTTTGTAGTCACTTTCCCAAGAGCCTATCATTCAGGGTTCAGTCATGGTAAATTGCCTTCATATCTCACTTTAGCATCCTTCTTTGGGACAGTGATTATGCTGTTGTTACTTTTGTTGATGCAAATACATGCTTCATCCATTATATTTGACTTCCAGGATTCAATTGCGGGGAGGCAGCCAATATTGCAACGCCTGAATGGTTGATGGTTGCTAAAGATGCTGCCATTCGAAGAGCTTCAATCAATTACCCTCCTATGGTGTCTCATTTCCAGTTACTTTATGATCTTGCACTCGAATTTTGTACAAGGTATCCTGATTGAACATTTGCAACTTTCCTCTTGGTTGTTGAACTGCCAGTACAATTCTTTCAATACCTTGCCTGTGGGCTGTTTCAAAAATTTGATTATTTCAACTTCAAGATAGTTTTTATTAACTTTGCGCTGTTGTACCCATAGCATATCAAGAGTTTCAATTCATTATTCTATATCTACTAATCTTGAAACTTAGTAGAGTTTGAGATGTTCAGCATCTCACTTCTGGGAAGAATTTCATTGGAAATCTATCATATTGTCACCTCATTATTTGGTAATTCATTATTTAAGTTGATCCAAGTCTATTCTGTATTTTATTCCTTGGTGAATGTCTCTAGCATGTGAACTGATCTGTTGACATTCTATTTTAGGATGCTACCCTTTATTCCACATGCAATATTCATTATGATTATAGAATCCTCATAGCCTTTATTTTCTCCCATCCAGAATACCCTTGAACATCAGTGCTAAACCACGGAGTTCAAGACTGAAAGATAAGCAAAAGGGTGAAGGAGAAATGCTGGTTAAAGAGCAATTTGTGAAAAATATGATACAGAATAATGACCTGCTTCATATTCTTGGAAAAGGATCTTCAGTGGTGCTTCTTCCACGAGGTTCTTCAGACATTTCTGTTTGTTCAAAATTACGAGTTGGATCCCAGTTAAGAGACAACCCCACCCTTGGATTATGCAGCCAGAAGGATGTTATGAAATCCTTGAAAAGCTCAGGTTCTGGTGACATCTTGCAGGACAAGAACCAGGAAATCAATCAAGTGAAAGGCATCTTTTCAGCGAAAGCAAAGTTTGCTTCTTTGTGTGAAAGGAATAGATTTTCCACATTAAATGGAAATGAATGCTCACAGAGTATGAACATAGGCACTGAAAGAGGTCGTTCCATTCATGGTGATAAGTTGTCAGATCAGAGACTGTTTTCATGCGTCACATGTGGGATTTTGAGCTTTGATTGCCTTGCCATCATTCAACCAAAAGAAGCAGCTTCTAGATACCTCATGTCAGCTGATTGTAGTTTCTTTAATGACTGGGTCGTTGGTTCTGGAGTAACTAGGGATGTTTTTGCTGTTGCTGGTGGGATCGCAAACATTTCTGAGCAGAATTCCTCAAGTATGTTTGATGGAAAAACTCTACGTCTTTTGTTACTTGCCTTCATATTACACTATAACATAATAGTCAAAGTCAAGTGGTTCTTAGTTATGATCCAACCATATGTTTAATTGGACACTGATGTGTTATCTGGAATTTGGATTGCCTGATGCAAACCCTTAACATCAGTATACCAATGTTGAAGCCTCTGGCTAAGACCTGACCTCATGAATAGGGAGGATTTGGGCAGGTTGATCTTAATTAAATGATACCTGAATCCCCTCACAAATCATTGATGATGCTTTAAAGATTAAGTTTTATTATTTTTCATTTTATGTGGCATATCAGTTGGTAGTCAGAATTGCTGTTCTTGATGCAGTGGTATTTGTTGATATCCATGAACATTAGGAAAGGGATTTCTGGGAAAGAGCATACTTGTTCTTTGGAGGAAAATGAATATGAAAATACTTGGGGCCAATCCATTACAGAACAGTTGCAGTGTGTTAATATGATAATAAATAAATAAATTATGTTTTTGTGGAATTCATTGGAATAAAAGTGGTCATGTTTACTAGTTATCTCGATCAATGATGATTTTATTTGTTAAAAAATTTCCTTGATTTGTCTCTTTCTGATTTGAAATGGGCTGGGAAAAATCTTTGGATTTGTCATACAATGATGAGTGGATGAAAGTAAAAAATCTGCTGCATGCCATAATAATGTTCTCAGGAAATGTTGGTGTGCTGAACCTGTTTTAGATCAAGCTGCACATTCTGCTGTCTCAATTATTTTTATATCAACACACTTATCCAACCAGCTACACATTATATTTAACCTGCATATTGTATTTTGTCTTTGTTTGTGTTTTCTTTGTGGTTTTGTGCTTTCCTTCTTATAGCTGCTAGTTTTCAACATGGATATCTTTGCTCTAAAACAGGGTGGGTGGAAAAGAATACCGCGGCTGGTTTTTATGACGTCCCTGTTCAATCTCCTAATTACCCAATTCAGATGGCAGATCAAGGTGTTGAAATGACTTCCAGCTCTGGAAAACAGTTAGAGGCTTCTGCTCTTGGCCTGTTAGCTTTGAATTATGGGAATTCTTCTGACTCTGAGGAAGATCAGGTTGAAGCTGATCTATCTCACCATGATGAAATTAACATGACAAACTGTCCATTAGAAAACAAATATCAGTGTCAGAGTTCTGCCTTCCCTTCTTACAAGCAGAAGGACTATGATGCTGCAACTGGTGGTCTCCCTCAATCTCCGTCAAGACTTGATGAGTGGGATGATGTTCCTCTCAAAGCTAATGACATGTATACAGAAAATGGAGATAGACGAGATAATTTCAAGGATAAAACTGATGATACACTTGAGTGTTCTTTTGGCTTCCCAACCGGTAACCTTGCTTCAATTGAATCAAACAGTTTGGATAGTAGATACAGAGATCCAATGTCAATGTCACACGTGTCTTTAAATTGTTCCCCAATTGTCCATGATATTGAAAAAACAAAGTTCAACAGGCCTATTGCACCAATAGAGAATGCAGACATGCCATTTACCCAAAGATCTGACAAGGATTCTTCATGCATGCACGTATTCTGTCTTGAGCATGCTGTAGAAATAGAACAGCAACTTCGTCAAATTGGTGGAGTACATATATTACTTCTCTGTCATCCAGGTGTGTTTTTTTTCTTCTTTCTATGGTTGAGGTCATAGAAGTTTTTTGTAATAGAATAAGCACTACCTTCTATCCTTTCCGGTTTCCTTCTTTTCTAGTGTTTGTTTGTTTTTCAAATTCAAGTTTCATGTAGAATTTCTCTTTTTGAGTGGTGCATGGGAAAGTATGAATGTAGAGATCATGAGATAATTGAGTGTGGTCATACCAGCACACTTTCTGTAGGTCGGTTTGTGATTCTCAAGTAGCTAGACTGACCCTAGAAAAGGGAATATGCACCTTTTTTGTTTTGCTTTTCTATTTCAAGTGACCATACATTGTACCTGTTCATGATGGTTTAGACTTTAGGGTATCATACCATTTTGTTTCACTGCATGTTTCATGTAGTTCTCGTAGATTGGTCTTGATTAATACTAAGTGAACTCTAATCTCCACAATAAGCAAATTTTTTGCAAAGAGCACCAAGGGGTGCAATCCATACACAACAAACAAGAAGCTTATTTACAAGATAAGGAATCTGCAAAAGCTTTAGCTGTGGAAAAAATAAACAAAATATTGTTTTCTATAGGAAAACCATAAGTGAAGAGCCTTTATCCAGCTTAAAAAAAAAAAAACAGCACTCCACACTTGCCAAAAAAGTTCACTAGTCAAGAATTTTCCTTTAATCTGTGCGCTTTATGCCCCTTGGAGCCTTACCCTACTTTTCAATTGTCCTGTTTTCTAAGGAACAAGATTCCCATTTCTGAAGAGAATTTGATCATGTGGATTGTGTTTTTAAGAGAGAGAATCTGTGTAACATGGATGAAAAAGAGTTGCTGCTCCATGCTATTCCTTTGTCCCTATCATTGCGACAGCAAGAAAATTGCACTATGCTCCATTATATTACACACATTTACTTTCTACAGGCCTTCGGTTTTTCTGTGAAAGTGCCACTTAAGCTGGAGAAAGTGTTGTCAATGTGTGATAATAAATCAATATGGCAACTCTATCCATCATAGTTTCTGCAGAAAACTTTATTACGCTCAAGTCATCTCTCCAAATTATATCCACTATTATAGCAAGAAGTTGCTTATTATTTATCTGTTTACTTGAATTCATGGATTTTCATTAAACTTTTACAGAGTATCCCAGGATTGAAGGGGAGGCAAAGTTAGTGTCAGAAGAACTGGGGATTGATCATCTATGGAATGACATTACTTTCAGGGATGCTGCCAAAGAGGACGAGGAGAGGATCCAGTCAGCTTTGGATAGTGAGGAAGCCATACCAGGGAGTGGGGACTGGGCTGTAAAGTTGGGGATCAATCTTTTTTACAGTGCCAACCTCAGCCGATCTCCTCTTTATAGTAAGCAGATGCCATACAATTCTGTTATATACAATGCGTTTGGTCTTGCTTCTTCAGTTAGCTCAACCCCAAAATTCAAGGTGTATGGAAGGAGGTCTGGCAAGCCAAAAAAAGTTGTGGCTGGGAAATGGTGTGGAAAAGTTTGGATGTCAAATCAAGTTCATCCCTTTCTAGTGATAAGGGATCGTGTGGATCAAGATCATGAACAAGAACAAGAAAGAAGCTTCCATGCTTCGGCAACACCAGATGAAAAGCTTGAGAAAAAACCACAAACCAGCAACAAAACTGAAACCACTAGAAAATCTGGGAGGAAGAGGAAAATAACAGCAGGGAGTCGATCGATTAAGAAAGTAAAGTGTCTGGAAGCAGAAGAACCAGATTCAGAAGACTCAATGGGGGGTAATTGTCATAGGCAGCGTGTGAGGGTTCAGAATAGCAAAATCAATGAAGACACTGAGAGAGAGATTTCATATGATTTAGTACCAGATAGTCATCAGCAGCATGGGAGGTGCAGGCGCAAATGGGCCAAATCTGTTGAGAGTGATGATGCAGTTTCAGATGATCCATTAGCAGAGCATGTTCGTCAGCAGTATAGGAGAATGCGTAGAAGCAAGCAAGCCAAATCTATCAAGAGGGAAAATACTGTTTCTTATGCTTCAGTTGAGAACAAGTTTCAAAAGCAACTTAAGAGAGCTCACAGGAGTGACCGAGCCAAATTTTTTGAGAGACAATCTGCAGCTTCTGATAACTCACTGGATGATAATAGTGATCAGTGGCATGAGAGAGCCCCAAGAAGCACACAAGCAAAATATACTGAGAGTGAAGATGCATTTTCAGATGATTCACCAGAGGAGAGTTCTCGTTGGCTACATGGGAGGGTTCCTAAGAGCAAACAATTGAAATATATTGACAAGGAAGGTGTGATTTCAGATGATTCATTGGAGAGTGGCTCTCATCAGCACAACAGGAGGGTATCTACAGGCAAGCGAGCCCAACTTATTAAAAGGAATGATGTGGTTTCTGATGATTCATTGGATGAAAGTGCATATCAGCGGCTCCCGAGATTTTCTAGAAGCAAGCTAGCCAAATTAATTGAGAAGGAAAATGCAGTTTCAGACGATTCATTGGACGACAATATCCATCATCATCATGGAAGGGTTCTTAAAAGCAAGCAAGCCAAATTTGTTGAAGGGGAAGATGCAATTTCAGACGATTCTCATGATGACAATACTGACTGGCAGCGCAAAAGAATTCCTAGAAGAAAAATGGCCAAATTTGTTGAGAGTGAAGATGCAGCTTCAGATGATCTGCAGGAAGATGATACCCATCAGCATCGCAGAAGAATTCCAAAAAGCAAAAAGACGAACTTTATTGAGAGGGAAGTTGTAATTTCTGATGATCTGTGGGAGAATGATACTCATCGGCAGCCTAGGAAGGCTCCTAGAAGCAAGCAGGCCAGATTTATTGTGAGGGACGATCTTGTTTCAGATGACTTGCTGGAGGATAATTCTGATCAGCAGCAGAAGAGGATTCTTCGAAGCAAGCCGAAGAAACCGGCAACACTTTGCCAAATGAAACAAGGGACTCGGAAACCAAAGCACATTGCCCCCAAGATGATAAAAAAAGAAACCCTGAAATTAATAAAACAAGAGAGGCAAATAAAGCAAGAGACTCCTCAGCAACGGATTGGTAAAAGTGAGCTGAATGCAAGGCAGTTTGATTCACATTCTGAAGAGGGGGTAGAAGGTGGACCTAGCACGCGCCTTAGGAAAAGACCCTCAAAGCCTCCAAAACAGTTGGAAACAAAGCTGAAAGAAAAGCAACAAAACAGTAGGAAAAAACTGAAGGATGCTTCAGCAGTGAAGGCTCCAGTTGGCAGAAAGAATGTTAAAATAAAAGATGAGGAAGCAGAATATCAGTGTGACATTGACGGGTGCACAATGAGTTTTGGATTAAAACAAGAGCTTGCAATGCACAAAAGAAACATTTGTCCTGTCAAGGGGTGTGGAAAGAAGTTCTTCTCGCACAAATATTTAGTGCAGCATCGCCGAGTCCACATAGATGACCGCCCTCTCAAGTGCCCTTGGAAGGGATGCAAGATGACGTTCAAGTGGGCATGGGCCCGGACAGAACATATCAGGGTTCACACAGGTGCGCGTCCATATGTGTGTGCTGAGGAAGGCTGTGGACAGACTTTCAGATTTGTGTCAGATTTCAGTCGTCACAAGCGTAAGACTGGTCATTCGGCAAAGAAAAGCAGGGGGTAATATAAAGAACATATGTAATTTAACATTGCTAATGAAATTGTTCATTTGACAGGGTAGGGCTAGGTTTAAAAGATAGAGATTAGAGTTTCCCTGTAATTGTCATTGAGAGTAACAATTAATTCTCTTCACCAGGGGTTTAAATGGCCTTCCATTTACTGCAACCTGAGCAGTTGCTTGGATATTGAAACAGATTAATCTCCAATCATTGCCAAATGCCAATTCTTGTTTATATTTGAGAGTTAGAGGATGTTGCTGTTCTGATTAGCTGGGGCGCAGTCACTAGAACAAAGTTAAGGTCAGTAAGTGAATCAACTAGCTGAAAAGAATTTCGAAGCCATAATGTTTGTGATATTGTTTCCTATCATCCCACTGCTCTTATCAGCTTTACCCTATTTTAAGCTGGCAGATACTGAAGTTCTCTAGTGTGCAAAGCCTTGCTCAATGACTGCATAAAGAAGACTCTCTTCGTGGAGCTCCGTTTCCTCTGTAGTTCTGGGAATGGTTGTGTCGATTTTTATTCTTTTATGTTTGCAAGGTTTCTCATTCGTTGTGCCATAACTTCACAGCTGCATAATTATGATGAAAGTTTCTTGGACTGGACTCAGTTGAAAATTTAGGGCTCTAACAACTCCCAACCCTCCAAATTCCCCTCACTGGCGGTGATAAAAAGCCTTCGAAAGCAACTAGCTTGCATGCAGGGAACTTGATACACCAAACTAAGAATCAGCTATGCAAGGACCAAAATCTGGTAGAACCATGTTGAACAAAAAACAAATTTACACAATGGTTTCGTTAGAAGTAATGTTTGCCTTGTACAGCTGGACCAGTTATGGCAGGGCTCTCTTAGGCATAAAACTTCAAATTTGATCCCAAGAGACCCCATATTCGAGTTCAGGCAAGCAGTAATAATAATAAAAAATATATATGGTAACAACGATGCCGAATTGGTTTTTCCCTGTATATTTGCTAAAAATGCATTAGCTTCACACAATTTAGCTTTGCACCACAAAGGTGGGTAGGTGGGTCTGCATTACGGTAGATCAATATCCCCGCCCCCCCCCAAAAAAAAAAAAAAAATAAAATAAAATAAAAATATAGATGATGATAATATTTTTTAAAAAGTAAAATAATTTAAATTAAATGAGAATAAGATAATATTGTAAAGAGAAAAATTAAAAAAATTATTAGCATTTATTTGAAAAAAAATTCACCTATTGCTTTTAAACATTAAATTTTTTAATAATTAAATTTCAAAATTTTATTTTACTTGCTTTTGATAAGTTTATCTTGCTATCATGTTACACATTTTATTTGCTGACCTGAATGCATTTGAATTAAGTTTTTTTTTATTTTTTAAAATTATATTACTTTTTTAATTTTAATTTTTAATAATTTATTTGTTAAAAATTAAGTTTTATTTTTTTTCATTTGACTTCTGTGAAATTATTATGTTCTTATTATTTATTTTTTATCATTTAATTTTCATATTTTTTTATTTTTTTAAAGATTGTAGAGTTATTACAATCTTATATCTATAATTTAGGTTTTTTTACTTAGTTTGATTGATTTTTTTATTTGTTTTTTATAAAAAAATAATTTTTTTTAGTTCCACTTTTTTATATTAGATAATTAAATTTCATCATTTTATTCAATTTGATTTTGATGTGTTTCTTAATGTTACAATCAAGCCATATATTTGATATAGTGGACTCCATCCAAGTTTTTTTACCTTGTTTTCATTGTTATTTTTTTATTTTATTTTTATTGTTATATTTTTTTATATTATTAAATTAATTAAGTTTATTAAATTAAATCAAGTCAATAATTCAAGTTTTAATTTTTTTTATTTTCATAAAAATACTTGCATCATTTAACAATTTTTTTTTAAAATTGCGTGGGTTACAACATATCACAATTCAGATCTAAATATCTAAATCTTTTATCTAGGATATAAATATAATAATTCAGGACCTTTGAACAGCAAATTAATATTAACATCACATACAAATCGTAGGACAGTTTCAATTAATTTTTAACATTATTTTTAATTCGTGGAAATACATAGGTGGCAGCAGCGCATTAAAAGCAACATCACTTTTACTTCTAACTTTTTGTCCTCTCTCCTACTCGATTTTCCTCTTCACCAAATTAGGGTTTCAAAAAATTGAAATGTGGAGGCAAAATGGAAAAACAAATTGAATTACCAATCCAAATTCAAACCGAAATCCCTCAATTAGGGCTTCAACCTTCTTCTTCACTTCCTCCTTCTCATCCAGGTACCTCTCCGTCATCCGAACCTGATCAAACGGCCCAGGATGACGATAACTATCTTCATCAAGAGCTACAGAACCAGCTCGACTTGAGAGAGGAGTTTAAAGAATTGAATGATTTTCATGAAGAGGAGGAGGAGGAATTGGAGAGTGAAGAGGGAGATGAAAAGAGTGAAATTTTTTATGAGATTGACAACGAGAGCATTGAGAAGGAAGGTGATGATTTAGAGAAGAAGAATGAAAGAAGTGATGAAAATGCTAATAACAATAGAAGGTATCATCAGTATCCGGTGAGACCTGAAGCAGAGGATTGTGCCTTTTATATGAAGACTGGGACTTGCAAATTTGGAGTTAATTGCAAGTTTAATCATCCTGTTAGAAGGAAAAATCAGGTACAAAATCTTATAGTTTTTTTTTTCCTTGTGTTAATATCTGGGTTTGTGATTTTATGTGTTTGTATTTTGTGGGTTTTGTGTTGTTGGTGTAAATGTAGTGTTTCTAAAGACGTCTGTGGTTACGCTGAGTTTGGTGTGTAATTGTGTGTGGAATTTTGTTGTCATTTGCATCTGTATTTTTATTCATATTGTGGGTTTAGTGTTGTTGGTCTAAAAGGAGTATCTTTGGCTGAAGGGGAGGTCTTTGCTTATGTTTTGTGTGTTGATGGTGTTGATGTTGGTGGGTGCGAGTGTTTTGATTGGTTGGTTTTCTTGTTGCTGCGAATAAGGGATTTGATGAATTTAGGGATAAAAAGGACTTTTGGTGTTTGTTGAAAATGGTAAATGTGGGTGGTTGTGATGTTTTTGTAAATTGCATTAATTTGTGTACATGAAAAATGATTATTGAAAGTGATTCTGTGATTTGATTTTCTTGTCATGTGAAAGTTTGTGGCTTAATGAATCTAGAAACTTGATTTTTTTTCTTCCTGTTGCTTAAGTTAGCTTCTGGAAATTGTGGGTATTTTACTGTTTTAATATCTTATGGTTGGATTTATGTGATTGAATATTGTTAACTAATTATCATTTTTTATCTATTGAAATTTGGTTTGTTACAAGGCTGTCAAGGAGAAGGTGAAGGAAAGGGAAGAAGCAACAGAGAAGCCTGGCCAGACTGAATGCAAGGTTATTATTCTTCTATATTGCTAACAATTTGAGGTTATGTTTACTCTTTATTTTTTTTTGTTCTGTTCATTTTGCATGCCATGTTTGCCATGGGAAAGCAATTCTGTGACTCTTCTAAAAGCATCTCCAAGGGGAGATGCTATTTAGAAGAGCCAAATTGGTAATATGGCTTTTTTGCTCACATACACTCCAATGGTAAAAAGCAGTTTAGAAGAGCTAATTGTATTTTAATAAATTTGACACACAACTATTTTAATAACCTGATATGATCTAGTTGATTTGGAGGGTCTAAAAACAACCGGAACGATTCTCAATCAACCCAATATTAAATGATGAAATTAAAAAATAGAACAAAAAAAAAAAACAATAGTCAGCATGGGTGAAATCGCCAAACCCATGACATGGGTCATGAGATTAGGATAATCTCATTGAAAGCAAACCGGAAAAGTCATAGATTCAAAAAAAAAATCGAAGGAAAAAAACTATTGGAAAAAAAACACTATTACAATGAATGTGTTTTAGCATCTTTGCAAGATGTGTTGGAATAACATTTTTGTAAGAGAAATGCTAAAATTGCATTTTGTTTAGCTTTCCCCTTGGAGCATGAAAAACAAGCAAAGAAAAGCAAAAATATTGCTTTTTTATTTTTGGCTGTCTATTTAGCACCTGGGTTGGAGTTGCTCTAGTGCAGCCTAGGACCCCCCAGGCTCTTGTAACTTTTTTTACTAACTATTATGTTTGGTCTGACTATTATGTTGGCAAGATATGCTAAATCGCAGTCTTGGGTTTGCATATAGTCTTATTATAATTTCCTTTAATTTGACAATGGCTTAATTTTTAGACATTTGGAATAGGATGATGTTTCTTACTTCTTTCTGGATTGCAGATTTGTAGGATTTTACCAGTGAAGATTGCCTATACTTTTGGATTGAATATCTTCTTCCTGTTTTTTTTCTTTTCCTGCAGGGTCATATATCTTATTGTTTTACTTGCTCATCTACATTTTTCTCTTTTGAATGATTTTTGTTATAGAAAATATCTATATGTTGTTTGCTTGCACTCATTACAAAGTAGGTATCTGTTAATTCTGGTCAAATATTATTTGGAAACTGGAACTATAAAGAAGAAGGGAAAATTGAATGAGAACTCATTTGGGGAAACTGGAACTATAAAGAAGAAGGGAAAGTTGAATGAGAACTCATTTGATAGTTGGTTAGTCAAGTTGTTTTCAGGTGCACTTTATTTTTTTTATTTTCATGTACGAGTAAGTTGGTTTTAGTTGATGTTGGCAATATTTCTTTGTTGAGTTCTATGCAATATGTTTGGCTAAAGAATGACATTTTGTTTCTGTATTACAATTATTTCTTGAGCTTGTTGCAGTACTACCTGAGGACAGGAGGCTGTAAGTATGGAGAAGCTTGTAGGTTCAACCACACGAGAGAAAAAACTTCTTCAGTGTCCCCGCTGAAGACACCAATGCCATCAATTTTAGAGCTGAACTTTCTGGGCCTGCCAATCCGTCCGGTATCTCTTTGATGCATACTTTAGATCTATTAATACATGTTTGCCAACCATTGCTTAAGTTCGTTATAGTTAAGTGGCTTTGCTGGAAAATTTTGACAGTCATTATCAATCACAGGGAGAGAAACAGTGCGAGTTTTACATGCGTAATGGCTCCTGCAAGTATGGGGCTACCTGCAAGTATAATCATCCAGATCCTATGGCTGCGGGAGGAAGTGACCTGACTTCAGCATTTGTTAATGGGGGAACTGCTTCTCTGCCAGCTCCATCACCATCAAGTGTAGGTTCTTGGTCTTCACCTAGGGCATTAAATGATCCTACACCC